GGGTCAGGCTGTCACCTGCTTACCAACATTGCTCTGGGAACCTTCCTCTCTACTTTTTGGTGAGGGGAATACATCCTGTGTGCAGGTGCTTTGGCAGACGGAGCAGCTTGGATCGGGGGATGGCTCCTGGGGAGATTCCATCCGGAGAGGGCGGGAGCTGGGACTCCCCTGGGTGGTTCTTCAGAGCTTCTTGGTGTAGAGTTAATTGCAGAGCGCAGTACCTGCAGTCAGGCTCTTCTGTAGCCATGCCAGCGTGGGCTGCTCTCTCCTCACCCTGCTCCTTTGCAGTACCCCCACGCTGTGGGCAGGAACACGCTGCTGATCGCGGGGCTGCAGGCCCGCAACAACGCCCGCGTCGTCTTCAGCGGCTCCCTGGACTTCTTCAGCGACGCCTTCTTCAGCTCCGCCGTGCAGAAGGCCTCCCCTGGTGCCAAGAGGTGTGCTGCCCCCCGGGCCCCCTGCCTGAGGGACTGCTGGGGAGCTCTCTGAGGAGGGCAGTCCCGGGGACGTTATGCCGGGGACAAATACGTTACGGGGAGCGGTGGGAAGCTTGAGCTCGTTTTGGCGCCGCGTTCCTTTGGGACAAAAGGCTTTGGGAAGCAATTCCCTGTTCAAATCCCGGCTGGGTGTTTGTGGCTTTCACACCTACTGACTCCTTGGGTTTTGACCAGCGGTGTGTTTTTCTGGCGTGGCTGCTGTCCCTTCTCATCCTCCCTTTCTCCATAGGTACTCACAGACAGGGAACTACGAGCTGGCGGTCGCCCTGTCCCGCTGGGTGTTCAAGGAGGAGGGAGTGCTGCGCGTGGGGGCCGTGTCCCACCACCGCGTGGGGGAACTCACGCCTCCCAACGCCTACACCGTCACCGACCTCGTGGTACGGCCGAGCCCGGGCTGGGGGGGGGGGGCGGGGAGCTCAGATTTGGGAGGATTTGACCCAGGCGCGGCGTGGGGCGCGGGTCGGTCGCTCCACACGCGGCGGGTGGGTTGCAGGAGTACAGCATCGTCATCGAGAAGCTTTCTGATGGCAAGTGGGTGCCCTTCGACGGCGACGACATCCAGCTGGAGTTCGTGCGCATCGACCCCTTCGTGCGCACCTTCCTGAAGAGGAACGGTAGGTGCCCCCCCGGGGGGGTTTGCTGCTGCTGCTGCTGCTGCTGCTCCTCCCGGGGCTGTCCTCCTGTCCTGTCGCCTCAACGTCGCCGTCATCTCGTTCTCAGGTGGGAAGTACAGCGTGCAGTTCAAGCTGCCCGATGTCTACGGGGTGTTCCAGTTTAAAGTGGATTATAACCGGCTGGGTTACACCCACCTCTACTCCTCCACCCAGGTAAGCCTGGTGGGAGTTAACGGCCCGTGAGTTGTAGAATC